AGAAGCAGCCGCACCCCAACAGAATAGGAGGAAAAATCTAAAACTGTTTCAAGTTTTATCTTTTTGTATATGAAAATAATATAATAATAATAATAATTTTGGTCTGAACACTCAAAAGAACTTCCTAGATACAACTTAGTTTTGATTTGTTGAATAATTAAACCCAGAATTGTGACATTACCTGCTGTCATAAATTAATATGATAGCCCAAAAAGATCAAATTAAGACAAGTTTATTTTTATCATTTTACTGAAGTATAACATACACACAGAAAAGTACACATATGTGTACTATACAGCTTGTTGGGTCTTCAGAAACTTAACACACCCATGTAACCAGCATCCAGATAATGAAACTGAACACTACCAGTACCCTAGAATTCCCTCTTATAACGCTTTCCAGTTAATACCCGCTCCCCAACAAGGACACCCACTGTGGTGATTTCCATCATAGTTTAGTTTGCCTAGTTTTGTACTAAATATAAGTAATATTAAATGTACTGTATTGTGTTTGGCTTCTTATGTGGGACTCATCAATATTGTTGCAAGTAACTATATACTGTTGATTCTCACTGCTATATAGCACCCTAATGAATGAATATACCACAGTTTATTTGTCCATTCTACTGTTGATGGGCATATTCGGATAGTTTCCAGTTTGAAGCTATTACCAACAGTGCTGCTATGAACATGCTAGTATATATCTTATGATGAACATATGTACCCATTACAGTGGATACACTGTATATATATATACAGTGTCATATATATGTTAGCCACCCCTGTCATCACCCAATAAGCCAATGAACAAAGTGGCCATGATGGCAGGGATGGAGGTTATGCATGGTCTCAGCAAAACAGACTGGAAGTGGAATTGCTGGGTCTTTAGTGTCCAGGGAAGTGGAATTGCTGGGTCTCTTTTCCATCTCAGTGAAACTTCTAGGGTTCCAGTGGTATGAGAGATATGCCTTATAAGGTAAAGGATAAGTTGTTCCATCTGGCCTCTCCTACAACCAAAAAGGAGACAACATGTAGTGGGCCATTTTAGATTTTGGAGTCAACATATTTCCTCATTTGTGTGTACTACTCCAGCCCACCTACTAAGTGACCTAAAAAGTTGCTGGTTTTGAGGGAGTCTCAGAATAAAGAGAAGGCTCTGCAAAAGGTCCAGGCTACTGTGCCACTTGTACCATATAGTTCAGCAGATCCAATGGTGCTTGAAATGTCAGTGGCAGAAAGAGATGCTGTTTGGAGCTTGTAGGTGAATAATAACAGTACAGGCCCTGAGGATTTTGGAGCAAAGCGCTGCCATCCTCTGTGGGTAGTTACTCTCTTTTTGAGAAATAGCTTTTGCTCTGCTACTAGGTCTTAGTAGAGATTGAATATTTAACCATGGGCCACGAAGTTACAATGAGAGCTGAGCTACCCATCATGAATTGTGTGTTGTCTGATGCACCAAGCCATAAAGTTGGCTGTGAAGAGCAGCACTCTGTTAGCAAATGGAAACAGTATATATGAGACTGAGCTCAAGCAGGTCCTGAAGGCACAAGTAAGTTATATGAGGAAGTGGCCCAGATGCCCGTGGCCCCTACTCCCGGTACATTATCTTCTCTCTCCCTGCCTGCTTTAATGGCATCATGGGGAGTTCTCTATGGTCAGGTGACTGAGGAAAATAAAGCTAAGGCTTCGTTTACAGATGGTTCTGCAAGATATGCAGACACCATCTGAAAGTGAACAGCTATAGCACCTACAGCTTCTTTCTGGGACATCCCTGAAGGAAACTGGTGAAGGGATGAAGTGAGCAGAACTTCAAGCAGTACATTTGGTTGTTCACTTTGCTGGAAGGAGAAATGGCCAGATGTTTGATTATATACTGATTCATGGGCTGTGACCAATAGTCTGGCTAGATGGTCAGGGACTCAGAAGGCACATGATTTGAAAATTGGTATCAAGAAAATATGGGAAGAGGCATGTGGATAGAACTCTCTGAATGCGCAAAAAACATGATGATATATGTGTCCCACATGAACACTCACCAAAGGGTTATCTAAGCAGAGGAAAATTTTCATAATCAAGTGGATAAGATGACCTGTTATGTGGATACCCATTAGCTTCTTTCCCCAGCCACCCCTGTCATCACCCAATAAGCCAATGAACAAAGTGGCCATAGTGGCAGGGATGGAGGTTATACATGGTCTCAGCAAAACAGACTTCCACTCACCAAAGTCAACCTGGCTACAGCCACTGCTGAGTACCCAATCTGTCAGCAGCAGAGACCAACACCTAGTTGGTCTCTGATATGGCACCATTCCCTGGAGAGGTCAGCCAGCTACCTGGTGGCAAGAGGTTGATTACATTGGTCCACTTCCATCATGATCAGGGCAGCATTTTATTCTTACTGGAATAGTAAGAATAAATTACTCTGGATATGGATTTGCCTTCCCTGCACATAATGCTTCTGCTAAAAATCACCAACCAAAGATTTATGGAATGCCCTATCCACCATCATGGTATCCCACAACATTGTTTCTGATTACAGAACTCACTTCACAGCAAAAGTAGTTTGGCAATAGACCCAAGTTCATGGAATTCACTGGTCTTACCATGTTCCCCACCATTCTGAAGCAGCTGGCCTGACAGAATGGTGGAAAGGCCTTTGGAATACTCAGTTATAGCACCAACTAGGTGGCAATACCTTGCAGGGCTGAGGCAAGGTTCTGCAGAAGGTTGTGTATGCTCTGAATCAGCATCCAATACATGGTACTGTTTCTCCCATGGCCAGGATTCACAGGCCCAGGAGTCAAGTGGTAGAAATGGAAGTGAGACTATTCAATACTACCCCTGGTGACCCACTGCAAAATTTTTGCCTCCTTTTGCCATGACTTTATGCTCTGCAGGTCTAGAGGTCTTAGTTCCAAAGGGAGTAATGCAGGAGTCACAACAATGATTCCACTGAACTAGAAATTAAGACAGCCACCTGGCCACTTTGAGCTTCTCATGCCTCTGAGTCAACAGGCAAAGAAGGAACTTACTGTGCTGGCTGGGGTGATTGATCCTGACTACCAACGGGAAACTGGACTACTACTCCATGATGGAGGTAAGGAAGAGTATGTCTGGAATACAGGAGATCATTTAGAGCATCTCTTCTACCATGCCCCATGATTAAGGTCAATGGAAAACTACAATAACCCAATCTAAGCAGGACTACTAACAGCACGGGCCCTTCAGAAATGAGGGTTGTGTCACCTGACCAGTTAAAGAACCACAACCAGCTGAGATGCTTACTGAGGGGAGAGGGAATATGAAATGAGTAGTGGAGGAAGGTAGTTATAAATACCCGTTATGACCACATGACTAGTCAAGCAAATATCTTTGTTTTCTTCTCTCTCTCATGCCCATGTCATATAACATAAGTTGTATTAATATCAGTTAACTTTATATCATAGTATTTAAGTTATAGGATATCAAGCAGAAGAACAAACATCACCCATCCTCTTCTGGGGAAGGAGTTAGTACATTTTCAGTTTTATTTACAGCAGTTGTATTATGTTAGGCAGAAGTATGACTTTGTTATTGTCTTTATTTGGAGATTAAATATGGTTTAAGGAGATGTGTATGAATGCATAGTTGACATGGAGTGGACTGTGATGGTTAGTTGTATGCGTCAACTTGGCTAGGCAACATTACCCAATTAAATTAAATACTAATCTTGGTGTTGCTGTGAAGGTATTTTGTAGGTTCAGCTAACATACGTAATAACTAACTTTAAGTAAAGGAAATTATCCTTGATAATGTAGGTAGGCCTCATCCAATCAACTGAAAGACCTTAAGAGCAAAACTGAGGTTCCTCTGAAGAAGAAAAATTCCTCCTGAGGACTGACCGTATCATTAGCTCCTGCCCAAGAGTTTCCAGCCTGCCCTAGAGTTTTCAGCCAGACCCTCCAATTGCATATGTCAATTCTCTGAAATAAATCTCTTTGTATACGTATACATAGATTGTGGCTATATATGTCCTACTAGCTCTGTTTCTTTGGTAGAATCCTGACTGATATGGCATCTACTATTCCCTACCACTATGCTAAAAAAGCTATCAGAGATAGACATAGAAAGAAGTCTAGTATGTGGTTTCTGTCCTTTAAAAATTCATAACCTAAAGAATATGAAAAGTCAGCATTGTAAATTATGTCAGGTAGTAGTATATTATTCAGTGTCAAATGAGTGTCATCGAATTAAGTAGTCAAGGAACTTAGAGGGAAATAAAAAGATCTCTGTGGACTTCAGGAGTGCTCAGGGCACATTCTGTGGAGGAAATGGGGACAAGGATCAAGTTATACATAACCTATTAAGTTTCAATTGCTTCACTGCCTGCTTACCTTTCGAAGGTGCCCAAGCTCCATCGAGTAATTAGACATTCTGCCTGATATGCAGTGAGAGAAGTACAGAAAAACCTAAACTTGGCGTTTAGAAGCCTTTAAAGATTGAATTCCTCTCCACCACTTGGAAGCAGTGTGATCTTAGACAAATTTCATACTATAATACTTTAAGCCTCAGATTCTTAATATATTAAATGAGGACAGAGTATACATCCTGTCATCATAAAGTAATAGTGAGAAATAAAGAAGTTATAATAAGGTGCCTTTCACAGAGGAAGTGCTCAACCAATGTTAAGTGAATGCAAAAATATCTCCATATCTTTAAAAATGAAATATCTACTAAATATGAAACCCAACAACACTAAATTTCAGGTAGTTATAAGAGGAAGTATCCTAGATAAACACACTTTAAATCAATGGCATAAGCTAATTTTTCAAGAGATGAAGTATCTGACTTTCAAAACACTATTTTGCTCAGGTTCTGAAACCTGACCAAGTTTTTAATAATTTTACCATTTCCACTTTATGCCAGAACTCTCAGAATACAATCTATAATTGAACTTCCTGTATACATAAGGAATTTACAATTAAAAAATGTTTGGTGTCTTCCAAAAAGTAGGTTCTGCATTCATACTACAGTACCTTCAGGAGTATCTTTAGGAAGAGAATATTTCTTCTTCCTTACAATAACAGCTTTACTTTCCACTTGTCTAGTTCCTGGTGATGCTTTAATAATACAACATATTTCTGATGTATTTGAAGGAAACTGCAAAAGAAAAAAGCAGATATTGCATATTTTTTCCAGGTACTATATCTATAGATTGTTTTATTTTATTTCAAAGGCAAATAGTCTCAATATCCATATATTTCATAGATATTAACAATAGAAAGCATCTATGAAATGCTTATTTCACTCCAGACACTAGGTAATTGGTTTTAAAACATTTGCTTATTTAATATTCACAAGAACCAGCAAAGCAGATTATATTACTCCCATTTGTAAAACAAGGGAACTTATGTTCAGAGAGATTAGATAACTTATTTAAAAACAGAGAGAAAGTAATGAGTTGAGATTCAAGCACTCCAAAGTGGGAGAGAAAGTTTACAGGATTTACTGAGTTAAAACATAAATATAAATTTAAGTCAGAGCCAAACCCTAGATTTCCTTGATTTCCCAACTCAGTTAATTTTTTTTGAAATTTTATGAGGAATATTTATTTCTTCTATGATTGATAGATTAAATTAAATCACCTTTTTATACCACTTTACATCCCTTCCCCCATAGCACTAACGTTTAGTCTTTCTAGTGGTTACCTTTATAACTTTTTTCTACATTGAAGTATAGCTGATTTACAATATCGTGTTACTTTCAGGTATACAGTGCAGTGATGATTCAGTTATATATATATATATATATATATATATATATATATAT